GAAATTAGCATTACTGGTTTTGTCTAGTACTATTTCATTAAAAGGCCACTCAGTTAAAGGATTGAATAGGAATTAGACAGCACCTGCTTGCATCATGCTAACATAATGATTGGCATCTTGGCTAACATAAGAGTTTGAACCAAGTCCCTGCAGTGATAAGTTTGAACTGCTACATATTACACACATATTATACACAGTCAAGCTGGGTTACATAGATATGTTGCATTTACATGTTTCTATGAGCAGGGACTAAAACTTCATATTAAATGTGAAGGCAAAATACATATCATACTAGAGCAGATTAATGATCTGATCAATAATCAGATTAATTTAATCTGACATCTCGTCTTCAAGTGTTTAATTTGGGAAACTTCAAAGACTTAAAAAAATACCAACAAGTTCCTGACTTGCAAAATTAAAATGTGATCCTAAAGACTCAAGTGCTATAGGAATTATTCTCCCTGAAATGTTGTTATGAACCACCTAACCAAGTCACCAAAGATTTCAATGGACTTTACAGAGCTAGGGGTAAATCAGGAAGGGAATGTTTAATGCAACATGGGGAAAAAAGAAGAAATACAAAATGTTTCTGTTTCGTTTTATTTTGTTTTTTCCTTTGGGGCCTGGTCTTTTGTAGATTTTTTTGGAGAGAAAAACTGAGCTATTGAACAAAGTTTCCACCATTTCTTTTTAACAGTAGTTGCTTTCATTCATGTAACCAAAGAATATTGAACCAATAATCCATTTTCTAGCTGTAACGCCGTTCTTGTTTTGGCACCTAAAGCAGCCATTGTATATTCAGTAAAAACATGTGGCCTTCGACAAATACAAATGATGTGTTAATTGTGAGCATGTGGGTCAAGATGTTTCCTTTACACCCAACTGTTTTTACAGAGGACCATGGGGCGTAACCTAATTAAGATCAACCTCTGACAAAATGGGCTTTAATGTAATGTTAAGTCTGTTAAGACTTGCCAATGCAGCATGCAGTCCTTTCTAGTATTTAAATGGAGTAGGGTTGGTTCTTTTGATGAGCCCAAGTACTGGCACTTTGGCTAATACCTAGACAAACTATTTAACTTAGAAATACTTCATGTGTTGGATTCCACCCTCTTCTATGTGAGCACAGCGTCCATTGAAGTTAATGAGAGTTGCATTCATGTATGAGAGGATGGAATGAAAGCTATTCAATGTCTTACTGTTTAAATCAACATGAAGGTTTTTTATGATGATAACATTTTTGAAAAATTGTCCATGGAAAATTGGATAGGTCAGAGGCTAGATGATAGGTTCTGCAGGGTCTTTCACTTTTATATCATTGGTTGGAATCTGTCCTAGGTTGTTAGTGATTTTGATGGCCTTAGTAAAATGAGATGATGCTATTAATGCAATTTCCTAGTGAATAAGGGTACTTTCCTTGAGAGAGAGAGAGAGAGAGAGAGAGAGAGAGAGAGAGAGAGAGAGGAAAATGCACACCACAGTTGCATTCAATTGATACATCAGTGGCATTCTGAGAAGCAAGCCAGGGACTGTTGGGCCAAGAAGAGTGAAATAGACTCTCCAGTAGAGGTAGAGACCAAGGCTAAATCCACAAGGGTTGGGCAGCGTGGGGAAGCTTGCGCTATTGCTTTCCCTTCTGTGAGTAAACATAAAACATCATTATCCATTGCTCTCAACTTGTTGACCTGTCATTGGTGCTAAAATGAATGCAAACATATAAACTAGAATCATTAGTCTTGTCCATTTTTTGGTTTAATCTCTTAAACTTTCTATTTCTCATTATGTGTGCGAAGGAATGAAAGACAAAAAAAAAAAGTGTTAATCTATTAATGAGATCCAAATTGGTCTAATTAAACACTTATCCTCAGGCACTTCAATTAATCTGATATTTATATATATATTTATATGTATAAATATATATATACACATATACATATATTTACTTTTCAGTAATATATTGAACAGACTGCGTTTTACTTTTTGATGCTTCAATGATTATTTCCTTCTGGGTTTTCACATAGGGCGCTTTTATATTAATTAGCTTTGCTTTCAGTTTTTTGTTTAATTATAATATGTGCTTATTTAACCATGTTTGTTAAAGAGATGCCCTTAAAACTCTTTCTTTAGTACTCTGTCCCACATTCTGCTCAAAGAATTGATTCTTTCTGCGTGACATCATGTTGCTTTTTCTTGCTCATATATCAGCTGTTATTTTTCTTTCCTCTCCTTTTTTTTCTTTTCCCCTCTCTTCTCTTTTATTTTTATTTTGTCTTCAGCCTGTTCTGCAAACTTGGAGTTCTTGTCAGGCATAGGATTTCACTGTTTGGTAAGGAGACCCTTGACAAATACTAGCATGGCCATCACTTGGTTTTCTTTGCCTTTTTTTGCCTCGTGTTATGTGCTGCCTTGTTGCATGCTGCATGGCTGAATGCATGGTCTTCATGGACCACTAATGATCTTTAGGCTGGTAGATCACAGTAGCTTTTAGATGAGTAAAGAGCTTTTGTAGTCGTTGAAGTCTTTTACTGGATGTCACAATATGATTCCCAAACCCTTATCCCTGCCAAAAACCAGAATGGATAATGTTGCGTATAGAGACAGGTGTTTGTTGTTTTATAGCAAACTCAACACTGGTCTGCTAATGGGACAATAAATTACCATCACAGCAATACATTTTTCTCTCTTGAAGTCACTTAAGTAACAGCTGTAGTGGGCTGAAATGCTTATCTGATGTTCTATGGAATTTTTCCATATTTCCAAACCTGCTTGACTCCAGATCTGCATGTCTACTGTTTCAGACATTGTTTTATTATAAATTGCTGGGTTTTCTTAACTTTTGTCTTGTGAAAATCATTTAATTGGAGTCTGTGTCAAGTGTATACGTTATACCAGATCCATGTAACAGTTACTCACTCTCTGCAGCCTTCTCTTATGTCATGCTGATAGAAGGCTATTTGAAAATGTGTCCCTGTGCATGTATCTTCTGTAATAGGTGCAGTGCAGACTTTATCATCCATGAACATTACATCTAATTGGATAATTATCTGGATGATTCCAGTTTGATTGAAAGTACAGATATAACCGAGTTCTGATATATTTCATTTCATTTGAAGGGAAAGTACCTATTTGGTAAGCACCGTGATATTTCAACAGCTTATAAACTCTTGTAATCAATAACATGAAAAAAAATATGGAACATAGTTTGGCATCATGTTTTGAGCTTGCAGGCATCTGTGATGAGCAAAGTGGGAAGAGTTTGTGTAGTGCTCCTTCTAAAAGACTACCATAAAAATGGAATTACATACCCCAAATGAGAGGTTGTTGCAGCTTTTTGTGGTATGTTAGTAAAGCATGTCACATAACTGCTCTTCAGCCCCTGGATAAGTTCTAAACTGGTTTTCCAAAAAAATGTCTCAATCTTTACCGGTTTATTTTGAAACCTTTTAGTGACAGCATGATTTGATGGATGGTTCAGCTCTGAAGTTATGTGATTTTCTGTCATTTGGGATAAATAGTCTCAGGGGTAGTATTATGGAATAATCTCTTGGATTATCTTTTAGGACTGACTAAAAAACTGAACCTGAATTCCATTTCCATATACAGTCTACAATGTTAAAGGAAAAATGATTTCCACCCTGGTTCCTAACCTGTCCATTTTTGGATTGTCCAGAGAGGGTTCCTCAGGAACCAAGGAATTGGAGGGGAGATGGATGCAGCTGAGGCTTCATTACTATTGGCACATCTTCAGGAGGAAAGCGGGTTTATTCTTGACTCAAGTTAATTTACATGTGTTAACTAACAGCAAATATAATCCCTTGAATATATAGGGCCAACACCTGGCAACATTTCAGAACTGTGAGATAGAACTCTGGCACAAACTGTGCCGGAGTTTATCATGTTGCCTTAATGGCATATGGAGATGCATGCTTTTATACTAAAATGTAGTTGATATAAGCCACAATTTTATAATGGATTCTTCATTTCTAATATCATGGTATGCTTTGTATCTAGGTTTCAGAATTTATAAAAATCAAATTTTTAATTAGTTTGGTTTTTTTTAAAAACGAATTTATGTATGTGGCTGATGTAAATTAATACAACTTGCAGTTCGACTGTTGTTACTCCCTCTCTGACTTTGAATCTGCGGGTTGTTCAGGAGTAACAGAATGGAAAAGACAGAAAAGCCCAGTAAATTTGAATGTTTATGTGTCCTTGTGTTATAATGGAGATCCTGTGTTGTTTTTTTAAAAGAATGTTTTGCATTGCTCTGTAGGAGGAGGGCTGTTAGGAAAACATCAACTGTAGCTAAACTCTCTTATTGCTGTGATACAATTTGTAAGAACAGTAGAAATCATATAATTAGAGACTGACTTTCAAGTATTTAATCTCACTTTAAAAAAAAAAATCCTGGTCATCTGAAATTTGACTCTTCAAGACACAGAAACATAAAAAGTGGAAAGACAATGAAAACAACTAAATGCACTAAGGCCAAAGAAATGGAAAGGCCGGAATTCTCACTGTTCTTCCCTCTTCTCTTCATAACCAAATTCTGCTCTTAATTACAGGCATTAATGAGTGCATGTGTCTAGGGTACACAGATCAGAAGGAAAGGAGCTGTCGTGTTAGTCCATTAATTTCAGTATTTTACAGTGGGTCACCTAGTAATTGGCAATTTTACTGTAACTGAGTTATGGTAATTTCTCATGCTCTGTGTCAGTTACAGTATAATTTGGAGTATTCTTTTGCATATTGGGTCGAAACCCAATGCTTTTATGACATTCAGAACAATTAGTTAGCTCTTTAAGGCTAGAGACAGAAGTTGCATATAAACCGTTTAAGTGATCCGAAACTTGTTTAAACCTGTAACAGAATAGAAGTTCAGTGCACAGAAACTGCTTTCAAAATGGCCAAACCTCTTTTAAGATAAATCTGGTTAAATGTAGTATCAGACTTAACTGATTTAGGTCAAACTGGTTTATGGAACTTCTGTCCTGGTTCCCCTCCCAATTCAACTTAACTATTAATGCTCCAGCACCCTGGGATGCTGTTCATCCTTGGACTATGGTCTCTGTTCCAGCAAAGCAGGGCAGCCCCACCCCCAGCTATAAAATCCCAGGCAGCCCAGAGCCCAGCGGATTCCCCCAGCCCTGCCACCTCCTCTGCCAAGGGAATTGGCCTGGCTCCCAGCCGGGGTACAAGTAAACCCCCCACTGTGGGATTCCCCACATGCTGGGCACAAACCAACTGGGGGCCAGGAATAGGGGGAGGGGCAGGGATAGGGCAGCTATTTCCCCCCTCACCTCCCTCCTCAGCCTGTCTGCTGGCTGGGGAGGTCAGGTGATGGCCAGGTGATCACCTCAGCTCCCAGTTTCCAGCTCAGGTGGGGGGAGTAAAGTCCCCAGTTCGGGCTCCCCCCATCCTGCACCAGGCTTACTGTGGCTGGAGGCCTAGAGCCAGGTGGAGGGGGCCATTCCCCCCCCTTCCTTAGACAGGCCACCTGGACTGGGTGCTTGCCTCAGCTCTCAGATTGGGTACCACTGCGGGCTTCCCTGTAGCCGGGAGCTGCGGCAATCACCTGGCCACGCCCCCTCCTAGGCTGGCAGACTATCTGAGGATGGAGTGGGATGGGAAAGGGGGCGTGGGGGTGGACCTGGCTCTGGACCTCCAGCCAGGCTGTGCCCAGCATGGGGGGAAGCCCACAGTGGGGGGCCATTTTACCTCCCAGTCCTTCCTCAGCCAGCCTGCCGGCCAAAAAGGGGCCATTGCTGGGTGATTGCTCTGGCTGCCAGCTGTGGGGGAGTTCACAGTGGGGGCTTAACACTCCCCCCCCCACCATAAGCCAGGAACTAGGGCAATCACCTGGCTATGCTGTCTCCCTAGCTGGCAGGCCAGCTGAGGAGGAGTGGGGGTGGGGAAACGGCCTCCACTGCAAGCTTCCCTTCCCTCCCCACCCATGTTGGGCACAGCCTGGCTGGAGATCTAGAGCTGGGAGGGATGGTCCTATGCCCCCCTCACTCCCTCCTCATTGGCCTGCTGGCTGAGGAGGGAGCATGGCCAGGAGATCACCCCAGGTCCCAGCTGCAGGGAAACCTGCAGTGGGGGCTATACTCCCCCTGCCCAAGCCTGGAGCTTCACCTGGCCATGCTCCCTCCTCAGTCAGCAGCCCAGCTGAGGAGTGAGTGGAGGAGGGAGAAGTAGCCTCCACTGCTGGCTTCTCTCCCACCTTCCACCCCATGGGTGACTGGTTCTGCCTTAGTCCAGGGGGGGCACATGCTTCCCCCAGTGACCAGTCAGTGACTAGGGGGAGGGGTTCCCGGTCAATTTTGTGGCTGATCCCAAATTACTGGCGGGGGGGTCCCCCTCAGTCGATCCCACCAACTGGTGCTCCACTCCCCAGCTGGCGCTTGCAGGGGGGAGGGCACCAGCACTCCTGCTTGCCCATGCTACTGCCTGCCCATCACCTAAGTGGTGAGTGTGGCTGGTCAAGGGGTGCACAGGCACCCCCGTGCATCCCTTACATGTCGCCACTGTTGCACTCAGCACAACCCAGCTAGAGGTCCAGAGCTGGAGAGGGGGGCATCCCCCCCACCTCCTCAGCCACCTAGTTCGCCAAGGAGGGCACATGTCTAGGTGATTGACCCAGCTCCGGCTCTGGGTGAGGGGGACGTGAGGGGAACAGGATAGGGAGGAACGCCCTACTTGGGGCTTCCCCCTTCCCCTCACACCAGAGAGACCCCAGCTGGGAGTCTGGTGCAGGGTGTGGGGTTCCCTTCACACTACCTCCTCAGCTGGCCCAGATGGAGGAGGGGTTGTAGCTAGGGGAACCAGCTCCAAGCATGGGGGAGAAAGGGCAAAACACCCCATTGGGGGCTTCCACCCTCTTCCCTTCTCTCATGCCAGTTGGCTTGAGGATGAAGAGGGGACATGTCGTGGGGAATTGCCCATCTCCTGGCTCTTTCCTGTGACTGTCAGGCTGGGAGGCATGCCCTAGCACCCTCTGGCTTCTGGTATGGGCCACTGCAGGAGTTTGGTTGCCTTTCAGGTTTGAAAAGTGGACATCAGTTAACTTTTACAATTGGTTCAATCTAAGCAGTTTACAGAAACCTGGAAGATTGAATCATTCAGTCTTGTGGTTTTTTACTGTTTGTACTTGCCTTAAAACATCAGCATCTCTGTCCTTCTGGCTACATCGAGAAACAAAGATGGCACTTCCAAAATACATCATGAAAATGTCTTCTTTCAGTATTTTCATCCAACACAAAACAAGGAAGAACCAGGAACCATTATTTTGTAAGGTTTCCATTCTCATTTCCACACCAAAATGGTTTTGATGGATTTCTGGATGCTTTTTCATATCTGTGAACAACTTTAAATTAGCACATTATCAAACATTTGGGATACCAGGACCTGTTTATAATACCATAGTTGTGAGTAGAAAACAGCTGCCTTCTGCTGCTGCTTTATTAATGGGAAGATTGTAAAGGCCTAATTTAGTGGTTCTCAACATTTTTAGACCCTTTGTTACTTTCAAGACACTCCTTATTTGACTTGAGGTACCTTGCCATAACTTCTGTAAATTCAGTAGTACCCCATTCCAAAAAACTAATTTACTTCTTACAAAACGAATTTATTTATTTCAGTGCTTATCTTCTTGCAGAGGGGTTAGGCAGTGCCGGATGGGAAGTGGCCTGGCAAGGAGACCCTGAGCCTGCTTTTACCTGCTTATATCCTCACACCTCATTATTATAGTCACACCTCACTTTTCTCTTCACACCTTCTGCAACACCCTTCAGAGGATCTTGTGGTACCCCAGGGTTTCCTCACAACCTGGTTGAGAATCACTTATTTAACTGAAGCACATGCAACAGTTCTCCAAAATATACAGATTATTTTATAATCAGAAGTAGGAAAATGTAGTGATCAAAAAGGTTGTGTATTTTGTGCTTTTTAAAGTTTCTTTCTTTTTTTAATCTTTCTCTTAAACAAATGTATCTACCCCTCCTGTTGCCAAAATGTTGCTAATGGAATCTCTATTTAAAGTAGAGATTTTTCCTAAAAATATATCGTACCAGCAACAGCAGAAATGATATGAATAGCAGTGTTAACAGATCATTATCAGTATTCTCACTACCATGTTCTCTAAGCCTGTTTAGTACATTTATGGTAGAGATTTGCAAGTAGCCTATGATTAGTTTATAATGAATTAAACTTGGAGTTTATACTCGAAGCCCAGTTCTAGCAAAAGCTTCTAGTCCCACAGTTGTCAAGTTACACATGTGAATAAGTTTGTTTCAGGTCCAGAGCTTTGATTTAGAACCTTTCAGCTGTGGTTACCTTGTCAATCTTTTAACATCACTTCAGTGTCAAGTTTGCATGTCTCAATGGATTTACCCTTATTTTACTCTCAGGAAGAACACTCAAATATATCTTCTGAAAGACAAACCTAAAGATTGACGAGTTTTCCATGCCCAAAATACTTGTTGCCTTCTATCTACTGTCTTCATAGAAACTATTTGATATGTAGTAAACATATGACTTTAACTGTAAATGTAAATAGAACACACTCTTATTAACACTTTCTTGCTTTCAGATCGAGTCACAGAAGGGAAACTTCTCAAATGCCACCACTGCATCCTCTTCTCTGGCATCTTTTTTATTTTGACATTATTTTCACTAAAAAGAACTATTTTTCATTATATCTTCAGTAGAAAATAGTTGGCACTGATCACATTTCATGACAATATTTCCTGTAACCTACATTAAAGTATTTTACCAATCTACTGTTTTGTTATTAAAGATTCATTAGTTTTATAAGTGTCAAAAATAAAGAAAGACAGTGGCCTTTCCTAAGTAGGGAGGGAATTCATAGATACTAAATAGGGGAGGGTGTATATGAGTTATGCATATGACCACAATTAACCCTCTGTTTAACTGGTGAAACATCTTTTTTTTCTTTTTTTTTAATAGGGTGGCGTCTATTGAAGACAACATCTTAGTGCATATCAACATTACAATAAGTTCAGAGACCATAGTTGACATGGGACACATCTACATAAGACACTACTGCACAGTCATTTATTTAGTACTTGTATTAGCAAGTACTAAATAAATGTAGAGCAACTGGAGCAGCGCTGGCAAATGCTTTTTAGGTGACGCTACTGTGTAGTAGCTTAATAATGTTTCACAGTAGCATATTAGCACTGTCCATGTTGTGACATGATACTGCACAGTATTTTTGGTGCTACACAGGCAGCGTCTTGTGTAGATGTGCCTATGGACATGTTTGTGCTAAATTAGCACTAGCTATCTCTGGAACGTCTAAAAGCCTAGCTCTAGAAGCAGGAAACTCAGTGCAGGCTGCAAAGCTTGCTTAAGAAGCTGGTAAATTCTTGGCGGTTAGCCAATGATGCTGTGAGAAATACCTGATTAGCTCATGTAAAGGGAGTCAGGGTATGTTTACATGAGATGCTTTAGTTACTTTTTTACTTTATCATCAAACAGTTTATAACTAAGTGTTAGATGTAGAAACAGCAAGATAGAATTGTGTAACTTTTTTCAGAAAGCTATATCAGTGATTTGAAAGATCCCATTGTGGATCACTTCAGCTTAGCTACAGCATTCAAGGTCTAACATTTCTGTGCCGTCTTATATAAACGCGTGTCTCTCCATGAGTGGGGCAGGACCAAGTTAAGAGATCTAAATAGTTTTCACTGTCTGAGAGAGAGAGAAAATTGCCTCTGCTCATATATGAATCAATTAAAATTATATTTGCAAAACTGAAATAAAACACACATGATGCACTGCAGCTCTAATTAAGACCACATCTCTTCTTGAGTGCCTTAGTGATTTGATGAGATGCTTTGAGTGCCTCAGCTCTTTGATGAGAGATGCTTTAGTGCCTCCAGTCACTGCATCTGTGTAAACAGGTTAAGAAAACAAACTGCATGTTTTTAACTTGGCTGTTAAGATTATGCAGAAGTTGAATTTTTTTTTGCTGTTTTGGTTACTATTTCTTGTAAAATCACAAATGCAATTAAAAGAAAAAAGAAAACAGGAAAGCTTTAATGCAAATTCAGCTAAATTGATAGGTCATTTTACTTCCTGTTTAGGAAATGATGCAACTTCAATAGTCAACTGTCTTCACATACTGGGTCAGACCTTGGATGCAAGGTAATGATGAATATATTTTCTAAAGTATAAATAAAATGTAGAAAGTAATTGAGGATATAATGTATAGGATTTTAAAGCTGTTTATCTATATATGGCCACACACTTCTTGACATCAGAAAAAGAGTATCCTGATGGAAGAAAAAGTTCCCATGTTAAATGTGGACTCATTTACCTTGGTAACCAAGGTTTTTGGTAGTGTGAGGCAGAGATTTTTTCTCTAGGTTATTGTTTCTAGTCCAGATCAGGTCATCAGTGACCAAAAATTACTGGCTGTTTCTTGACCTGTTTGAAGCAGCTAAGTATCTCAAAAACTGCCATAAATACTGGATTTGATTTATTCTTTTGCTTGAAGTCTCATCAGAGAAGCCACATATTGAATGCTTATGGAATGAAATACACTGTTTTAAAAACATATCTTTACTGGGAAGTTGATTAGGCTCTACATTAAATATTACCTTCACCCCTTCCAGTCTGTACACAAGAAATCTGGACTGATTTTTGTGGGGCTTTCTACCTGGGAGAGCTGCCCATTTTGAGTGCAGACTAAAGCTTTCCCTGGGGCGGGTAAACTATGCACTTTGCTGAGCACTGACAGATCTACAAAGCTTTTCCAAAATTTCCCAGAAGGACAGTCAAGTTCTTCTACAATCTAATGAGAAATTTCCTATAGTTATTACTTTCCTAAGACTAAAACCTCTACAATCAATTTAATGAGCCACATGTTTCTGTTTAAAAATAATTATGCTGAATTGAAGCGTGGTATAGATTTGATTGCACCTATATAGCAAACATATAGCTAATAATATTTTTTTCTGTTCCTACTATGGATTTTAATGGAAACTTTAAGTCAACCCATTATAATTTTTAATTTCTGATATGAAAAATGTGACTGTGATGTATGATTTATTTTGGAACACTGCTTCAAATTGGTATACATTCCCTATTCTGAAGAATAGCAGGTTTGCTCATTCCTTATTTTATGAAACATTTAAAACCTTATGTTCAGAAACTTTTTCAATGTAAAAACAATCAAAGGCCCAGTATGATCTGCAGAATTTATTGTGACAGAATTTCAGTACAAAGTGCTACCATGGGTTGCTTTCTTTAAATAAAAAAGAATTTACTGAGTATGAAATAGATGCACAAAAACTTGAATAAACTATTTCATATAAGCCAGAACTAGGATTTGTTTTGTATTTCTCTAATAGAATATGATTTTTCTTTCTTACATGTAATGTGCAGGACTGTGATGAAAACTGGTCTGGAGTCTGTTAAAATGGCACTGAGAGCATTTTTGGATAATGCTGCAGAGGATCTGGAGAAAACAATGGAAAATCTTAAGCAAGGCCAGTTTACACACACCAGAAACCAGCCAAAGGGAGTAACACAAATCATTAACTACACCACAGTGGCTCTCCTGCCAGTGCTCTCTTCATTATTTGAACACATTGGACAGCATCAATTTGGGGAAGATTTAATATGTATGTATTATTTAGAAATGAAAGCAGCCTGTACTAAAGTGCCAGGTTCTTGAGCTGGGTAGTCTCACACCCTCCATGGGGAGTACAAATAACACACATTGACCTGTGGGTGGCTGCTTTATTGTCTTGTAGTGATGATTGTTAGAGTCTCAGTTCTATTGTACAAAGATAAATCCCTGTTCTTAACCATGTAAAGTTGTCATTGATTTAAGTGAGAGTTGTAAGTTGAGAATAAGGTCATCAGCTTTTTTTCCTGAAATAAGGGAGAGTTTGAGTTTGTGTTTAGGAATTGAGATACAAAGTCTGGAATTAATTGCTGGCTCTGATACAGTCTTGCTACACGATCTTGCACAATTTTCTTTCTCCGTCTCTCTCTCTTTGGCTTAGTTTATCAAGCTGTAAAAGTGGGGTTTAATATAAAGGGATGTTGTCGAGTTGAATTAATGTTTGTTTGGAGCTCTGAGGTCCCCTTGATGAAAGCGTCTACAAAAGACAGCCTCTTGAAACAGGATTGCATTCCTTGATTTAATGACAGACATGATTTTTTTATTGATCCGTGCGCATCTGGGAGGTATTTATGAAACACTATCCTGTGTAGTTTAGAAATTATACAGATTCAGAACTTTTGTTTTAAAAACCTAATCCCTGAAGAACAAAAGGTGTACTTTTGTGGTGTCTTTGAAGGTAGAAACAGATGTTACTTGAGGTCTCATTTGTGCTGCCATAGTTGTATTTTTTTTTTTGGTGACACAAATGCTGAGCAAATAGACAGCAATACCCTTTGTCATGTCACATGAAAGAAAAAACAGTGGCACAACAAAGGGTGGTAAGAGATTCTGCCTCTTTGTTGTGGCAGACATATATTACCTCTGTCTGACTTGGCAGGGAAAACCCTACTTTCTCTGCAAAGCCAAACCTATGCCAAACAAATGTGCTTTCCCACTCAGCCAGACCCATGGGAAAGCAGGGAGATCACATTGTCCTTTGTACTACACCATCAAGGGTGAGACAAGGGGCAACACGTTTTCCCCAGTGCAGCAGATCATTTGTGCCATAACACATTGTGGCACAGCTGATCTGCTTCTTTCAGCAACATCTATTTCTAGCCTTACAATTCACAAAGTATTTCAATTCTGCATGTCTTAGAATCTCTGTAGGCATTCTATTGGCCAGTTTTGTCATCCTGCTTCCACAAAGCTAGATTGGAAGAAGTTTTGTGTAATTCTTTCAGTAACAGTGGACCTGGTAAAAAAACGAAAACCAAACAAACAAAAACTCTCAAGGTCTGTGCTGTTTGCATTTTCCAGCTACATGAAAAACTGTTATCTGAAGGTTGAACTTTTATTGCCAAATATAAATGTGCTTAGGTTGTAAACCCTTGCTCATACTACATTGTTTCTTGTTGTAAAGTATGGCAGGGAGCAGTAGCTTAGAATATCATCGTAAGCCAAGAAGCTGTGGAAATATGTCATACCCTTAAACTCAATCTTCAATTAGCATGAGCCCCCTAAGAGTATAAACTGGTTGAGAAAATGGCCATAGTTTAAATGAACCAATGATATGTCATTGGAATGGGTTATTTCTGTTGCATACCTACACTTCTCTTCACATCATGTTTTTAATAATAATACCCATCATTGTGATAGCCACTTTGTTGACTGACTCTGGGGACTGAGTTTGATAAAAATGAAGCCAGTTTATGTTGGGAGCTCAGACATTCTCCACAGATCAGACCCATAGGGTGGGGAACAAATAACAGGCACTGACACTAAGGGTGTGTACAGTCATTTGCTGCACCCAGTCTGTGATCCAAGAGAGAAGGTTGGTGGGACTGGAGGCAGGGGGTGGGGGGTTGGTGGGTTGTCCATGGTAGGGAGGAGGTCTGGTATGGAAAGGAGGGTTTAGGGGGTTAAAAATATTCCAGTCAGGGTGGGTGGGGTGGAAATAATGCAGCCCCATGGCTGGGGCAAGTGGCTGGGCTTTCCCAACTCAGAGGCTGCACTCCAAATTCATACAAGCGTTCACAAAATTGGGTTAACCCTTTATTAGATTAGGTTAATGCAGTCTCAATCTCTGAGTGCACCAACTCGATTCAGTTTTGATCTCTGACTTAGGTGATCAACTTAGATTGGGCACACCATTTTTTTGAGCAATTTAAGCCCTCTGCACAGCTGAACATTTAGATCAACCTAACCCTGGTTAGGTCAATCTAAACGTAATGCCTGTATGTACCCGAGGTGGTTGCCCTAGCACTTTAATTTTAGATTGAAAGAATGGAATTCTATCATGTTTCATTGCTATCATCTGGGGAGGGGAAAGGGGGTATGAGAGGGGAGAAGAGAACTGAAAAAAATGTAGTAAAACTTTAGAGGAAGTTAGAATGTTGTTATTTTTTGGATGTAGGATAAACTAAAGTTTTTTTTTTCCTGAAAGTGAGCAATCCAGGTACTTACAACCACAAATTGGAAAATCCCAACTTTTAATGTTTAAAATTAAAAAAAGAAAGAGGTTTGATTAAAAAAAGAAAGGTCGGCTCATTCTTTTATTCCCTTTGTCTGACTGATCAGTAAATCATTTAGCTAACTTATAGCTGATACGCATTATCCTCACAAGGATGGTGGGCCATTAATAACAGAAAATTAGAGCACTAATGACATATTAGATATGATACTATTCTGAGTTTATATTGCTTATCATATTAAAACGAAGTTTTAAATTATAAACTATGGCAGTTACTGTGTAATATCTATGGATGATATTTGGTAATTTAAACTCATTTCTGCACAGATTATCAAGTCAAATATAATGAGATTGCTTATGTATTTTAAGCCTACCAAAATGAAGAGCATTCAAAATTCTCTCTCTTTTTTTTTTTTCCTTCTCCTTTCCTTTAGTGGAAGATGTTCAAATATCTTGTTACAGAATATTGGCCAGTTTATATGCTCTTGGAACTAGCAAGAGCATCTATGTGGAGCGGTAAGAGGAAAACCCATTCACATAATTGCAAGCTTCCTACATACGCCTACTTGTATACCATTTTTTCTAATGTCCCTTCCTTCCCCTTCTGCCCCTATATCTTTCTCTCCACCCCCCACCTAGAAAAAAAGATTATTTCTTTGGTGGAAACATACATGAACTTTGTACACTTGTTTCTTCATTCACTAATTATTGAGCTTTGGCAAAGGGCTTTTGCATGCTGACAAGTTATTCTTTAGTAGCCCGTAAATCCGTCATAAAATGGGACATTATAAGCCAATACAAGGGGAATCATTTGCAATTTAAAGTGGTTATGCAAATCTCCTTTCACTAAGAATGGTTGCTGTCCTCAAAACATTGATATCTAATTTTATGCTCATAACATAATTCATGTGGCCCAGTATATTTTGATGTTACCACAGGCAGCTGCAAATAGAATTAATTTTGAATATAATTACTATCCAGTTAGGGAAAAAATACTTGCACTTTTTATGTGAATATTCCCTAAATTAGATTTTTTTATATATTTGACTTATATGGAATAGTAGGTTCACTTTTATATACCAAATATGAAAGTTGTTCCTTTCATCTACAATAGCCCACAAATATTAATACACATAGAAATCATATAACATTTTAATGTGAAATTCATGTTCTTTTCATTCTTATTCATTAATAAAGAATAAGGAGAAGGAATAAGCAAGGACATAGCTATGAGACTGGAGTCATAGAAAAGGAATTCAATGGCAGTACAGTAAAATCCCTTTTTTCCGGCATTTTACTAGCTGGCATATTCTATTAACTGGCACTGCACCACTGCCGCTGTGCTGCTGCCATCCACCACTCTGCACTGCCACCACGTGCAACCACCTCACACTGCTGCCATATTGCCACCCACCATCCACCACCCTGCACCGCTGCCGTGTGCAACCCCTGCCCCCACCTCCACCATCCACCCCCCCCTACCCCACTGCCACTGTGTGTAAGTCCCTCCCCTCCAGCATTTTTAGAGAACTGGCATTTTTATATTAATGGCACCTGGCATTCCCCACTCATGCAGGATAATAGAGATTTTACTGTATTTGTTACCAGAATTGGATAAATAATAAGATTGTTTGATCAAACATCTGAGGTTGAGGGTAGGCATGTCACAGATAATGCATACTAATAGATTTTCTTTCAGATCAGATGGAATCAAGCTGTGTCACTGGGAGGAGGAAGTCTATTAGATTGGTCACAAATCCTATGTATTAGAGGCAGGCTGTTTGCTATTTTTATCAGAGTAACTGAATTTGAATTGCCAAGTATATTTGTCAAGTAAACGTTGATCACTTGAAAATGTAAGAGTACAGAGGAAAGTTTAGTAGACTAATGTGAGCATAATCCCTAAGAAATAAGTAACAACAGTATTATTGTTAGATATAGACTTGGGCTTTCAGGAGTCTAGGATACAGTTATCATCAAATTGCATGAAAATGAAATGCTCTACAGTTATCATTTAGATGTGATGGTAATAACTTTGGGCCTCTTGATTTATGCGTCTGTTCAGTAACACTTTCTTAGTACAAGACTATATGGAGTCAGTATTATCTGGAATTGAATGGAAAATGGTAGTGGCGTTATTATGATACTGGTATTATGTTTTTCTTGTTTGTTCTCCTGTAGCTCTTGGCAAAAAAAATAGAAAACATTTGACATTTTATATCTTAATGTCTTCATGTAATAGTGGAAGTTTGCTTTATTTTGATATCCATTACATTGATTTTTCTGTTGCTGTGTTAGCAGTTATAATAATGTAGCAGATTCTTTCTTTCAGAAGATCACAGTTTATAGTAATAGTAAAGATAATGACATTGAACTAGTTCTGGATATATTTAATCAAAGATATATAAATAACACTGAGAATTTCTCAATTTGCAGGCAGCGGTCAGCACTAGGAGAATGCTTAGCTGCTTTTGCTGGTGCCTTCCCTGTGGCTTTTTTGGAAACTCATCTAAATAAACATAATACGTATTCTATCTACAATACCAAATGTGCAAGAGACCGAGCAGGTACATCCAGAATCTCACATGTGGGCATTTTAAAAACTATATTTCAAACAAAGTAGAGTTATCTTACTCCTTGCGTTCTTTCATTTGTTTTATATTACAGCAATCCTCCATTATGGGTTTGTTGTATTCTTTTGCTAAATTGCTTGGTTACTCCTATCACAATCAGGGCTTTTGGTTCCTTTAAAAGACTGCCTCACTTTTTATGTGGCAATATAGTGCTTACAACTTTGTACTTGATGCATCAAAAGGATTTCACCCCAAGATCTCATGTTGATATGTCGCCAAATAAAGAAATGTGTTAATTAAGGAGCTATTTTTGGATTCCACACCTTTGTTGTCGCAATATAAAGTTTATAGGTACCTACCTATGTTCCATGATAGCAAGACATATTTTAATTAGCAGCTTAGTTCCTTATGTCTCATTTTCAGTCTTGGTGTTTACAGTAGTTTTAATAGGAAATGTTAGTGCATGTCAGTACATATGGGCAATATACATTCTGGCAATTTTAGGATTGTAGTTGTCTAAAGTATCTATAAAAAAAAAAATTCCTTTAATTATGCTTACATCTTGAATTTATGTTTATTGAAAATTTCCAAAATGTAATGAAGTTTTGTGAATATAAAATAGTTAAAATGTGTTACAGAAAACCTAAGTTCAAAAAATAGTTTATCTGGGGACAAAAAATTACATGCACAAGTTGCACGGATGTGTTGACATTTGAATATCTGTTTGAATATCTGTTTACTGGCTGCAATACACATCAGAGCATTAGACTTCCCAGTGATTGCATTTGTGCTTGCAACCATCTCGACACCAAAACAGAAGAATGGAGGCCAGATTGAGGCCCTTTCTGGGAGGGGAAAAAAGGGACCATAGAGTAGTTTCACCAGTGTCTGAACTGTGGACAGAAATAGAATGCAAGAATTTTGTCTCCCATAGCCTGCACTTTCTTCTCCTTCCTCTAACCTGCGAAGTAGATAAAAGTGTTCATCTGATCCATTTATGAAGGACTTGCAGTTTTACTTGTGCATTAACTATGAAACCTGGCTTGGAAAAAATGTAGAATTTTGAAAAAAAGACAAGAATTTACACTGTGACTTAAATTAATTTATTGCAATAATTTCATTTTTGAAGCTTTAGTAAATGCACTACTTTTATTTTAGAGAATGAGACTTTTGTAAAATCTGACATAAAAATCTACTCAGTTCCAGAAAAAGAACCCTTTATCCTGCCTTAAAGTATTATCAAACAATGGATATGTGTAGAAAGAGAAGCAAATAAATGGGGGTGAAAAGACATGTGGAGATAAATATATTTTAGGTACGTTTTCTTTGTCCAATGCAATTTATTTTATTTTTTTTCCTAGCCCTCGACTTGCCAATGAGTGTGGATGAAGTTTGTCCAAATATTCCTTCCCTGGAGAAGCTAATGGAAGAAATTGTGGAATTGGCTGAGTCTGGTATTCGGTACACCCAAATGCCACATATTATGGAAGTGATACTGCCTATGCTGTGTAGCTACATGTCACATTGGTGGGAGCATGGGCCAGAAAATAATCCTGAAAAGGCTGAGATGTGCTGCACAGGCTTGACATCTGAGCACATGAACACTCTGTTGGGCAATATACTGAAAATCATATATAACAACCTTGGTATTGATGAAGGAGCCTGGATGAAGAGATTAGCAGGTAAATATTATGACATTAACAATTAGGGCATGGTTCTTAATCCACTTCATGCTGACTTCAGCTAAATAATGCCATATTAACTCTTTTCTCCTAACTCGTATTAAGTTGGAAGACAACTAGGCCCTTATTTTTTAAATAATTTTTGCATAATATTAAGCTTGCTTCAAGGAGTGAATAAAACAGCAGTTCTTAAAAAGACAGAAAGCATATTTTAAAATAACTTGTGTATTATCCTGAACTTAATACATTTCTTTCACTTAAGAGCATATGCTCACTCATATTGTAATATGTGGGTGTAATATGTGGTTTATTGAAATAAAGCAGTATAACTTGGTCACTCTTTTATCTGAATTTGATAGCTTTCAATTTACAAGCAGTAGGTTGTTATATAGAAGTCCTATTTGAAAGCCTGATACTTATAGTAATTCCTACCCTACTGTCAGGTAAGATATCACTACATTGAGTTTCATTCAGAGGGTTAACATCACATTAAAAAAGACAGAAAAGATCAGTTCAAATACTGATTTTGCATCCTGGGAAATGTTTCCTCTGTTGTGTTTGTAGTCAACTTCTAAATTAAATCATCACATGATTTTTTTTCAGTGTTTATAGCCATCTTCATTGTTTTCACTACTTAAGTTCATAGGAGCCCTACACTTTCTGTCAGAACTGGAGACCCCGAGTGCTACTTATGGTGAAACACCATCCTAAGACATGGTCTCTAATCAATTGTTCAAGAATTGTGGGGTTATGTGAACAAATTGGCTTACTGCATTAACCTTTAAATGATTAGATTTACAGGAAATATGCTGTAAATGACAAAGTAATAGATGTACCTCAGAATTTTCAGAGCCTCAGTTCAGTCCTGATTAACTGTCAAAAATGCAAATATTTATCTAGTACTTTTGAAAATGACCAGAAGAAGCTCCCTGATGACATTTCCTTTATTTTCTCCTTTTGGTCGAGGCAAAAAATTTTATGAGAGAGAAGATCCAGGGGCTTAGGAAGGACTTTTATTAACCTGTTATTGCATAATGTTTAAGAGATTACGAAAATTTGCTTCCCCAAGCTAAAATGGTGTAAAACAGTGAGCGCCAATCTTTCTGTCAGGCTTGCCACAAATTAGCCCTGTGTCCTTCTCAAATGCTACTTCGATTCCCTTCCTGTGCCAGATTTTCTTCTCTGCTTTCTGCCCCCTTCTTGTGCTTCCTGCCTGATTTTACTGCTTTGCTTCTGCTTCCTGCCCTATGTGCCATTATGCTCCCTGTCCCTTCCCCAGGCTCATGTGTGCCACACACAGAAGCTGCCTGTGCCACTTCTGACATGTGTGCTATAGGTTGGCCACCCCTAGTGTACAGAATATATGGAATATCTTACGATAATAAGGCTAGTGTAATTTTGATTAATTTGGATGTCTGTTTCAACAGTGGTGAAATGAATTCCCATGCTATGAATTCCTGGCCTTATCGAATTCAATGGAAAACTTCTACTGCTATCCTTGTGGCCAGGATTTCATACTGTTTTTTAAAATTAAATTACAAGAGATGGGAGTGTTGAGAAGGAAAAGGTTTGGATTATATTTTGTGATCAGGTATATACTATAATATCAATTGCCTTAAATAGTGTTTTCCCAGCCGATTATAAGCAAAGCGAAGCCCCAGCTCTTAAAGACCCACTTTCTACCACTGATGGATAAACTGAAAAAGAAAGCAGCGATGGTTATAACAGATGAAGAACATCTAAGAGCAGAAGGCAGAGGTGACATGTCTGAGGCTGAACTGCTCATCCTAGACGAGTTCACCACTTTGGCAAGGGACCTCTATGCCTTCTACCCTTTGTTGATCAGATTTGTGGATTATAACAGGTATGTGGAAATAATCACCTGAGTGGGTCTATTAAAGAAAAAACCAAAAAACTCAGTTTGGTACATTTCTTGATGCTTTGTCGTGTGTTTTGATCTGTTTGGCACTGATTTTAAATGACTTTACCCTAAAAGTGTTAATGTGAAATTAAAGACACCTTGCTGGTAGTTAACTGCAGTTTTCAAAAATATGTGTGTATATTTTTTTTCATTTTACCTAATCTTAATGGATCATCAGAAGCACACAACATAAAAGATTAAAACAGACACATATTGTTTTGTTTTTCTTATAGCATAATGTTGAATATTTATTTCAAAGCAAAACATTATCTGAGCCAGGAAGGCTCATCACTAAAGGCTTTTCCCTCCCTCCCCTCCCTATCAAATGTTAGGGCAAAATGGCTAAAAGAACCGAACCCTGAAGCAGAAGAACTGTTCCGTATGGTGGCTGATGTATTCATTTACTGGTCAAAGTCCCATGTAAGTACATTTTTTTACAATTTTTGTTTTTCATTAATTGTTATGACAGGTAGATTTGTTGTTTAAGGATCAATGGCTAGCCTTTAAGAACCAAATGAAATGGATACGTTGTCTTTTATCCTTTCCTTTTTTCATTATCACATTTTTTGTTGCATTAATTGGGTAAAATGAAGAGGATATAGCTCTTCAAGTGAGTCAGCACACAATGTTAAACAGTAAGTTAAGCACAGTGGATCATAATGCTGGGTGAATGATTCAAGGATGGGTTAATTTGTAAGAATCCTTGAATTAATACAGTAGGCCATGTTCACTTCTGGTTGCCTGACTTGATGTGTTTCCTTTTACAGACTTCTACATAATTTATTCTTTTTCCTTATAAATCATCACTGGCATTTCCTTTTTACTTGCCTTGAGTTTCGAACATGCACTCCCTATTCAGCTAGTTATTTATTGTTTCTCTATTAATCAGATATAGTGCTTCAGATGATGAATGTAGCACTTTTTTTCTTTGTAAAACACCAATCATGTCACTTATTGTATCTAGTCTGTTTCACCTGAGAGAAGTGAGGCCTAAGAATTCTCTGAGTTTGGGTCTCTGGTTTACTGCTAGTAATAATGATTTTAATGGCTTTTGAGGAAAGCAAATATAGTGATGGCAATATATGGCTGATAGTTTCCTATTAAATCCAAGGTTTTGGCAAAGTTGGGGAATACAGAGTTGTTTTCCAGCTAAGTAACACTGCTTGTGAATTTCCGTATGTCGACTCCTATTTATTTCATAACACAAGAGTTTTTAGCGAGTCCTTGTCACCAGTGCGATGTTTCCATTGAATTATTTCCTCATGTGCTCCCTTCTTTAAGACCTTAATATATAGCTACTGAATTACTTTAAATAATTGTGACTCATCACAGAATATAACTGTATATTCTGCCTCCTTTAACCTATAGGCAGTTATGATGCAGCAGTTTTAATAAAAGAGTTGTCTATCACAGTTTTGAAATCTGGAAGTTCTTTGTAGAGAACATATAGCTCACCTGTAGCAAGACAATGTGATCAGTACTACTTCAGATTTCTTTAATTTCTCATTAACACATTTAATATATTTTTACACATAATTTAATTAGTTTTAGAATTTATTCTTATATAAAAATTAAAGGAGTGCGTTTTAGTTATTAAGTGCAGTTCTTAGCAGCTCTACATGAAGATGTCTCATAGAAGTTCACAAGAGTTCTGTCCACAGAACAGACAAATTGCCCATCAGATTTTAAATTAGGGTAATACTTTGAAAAGTAACTCTGCATGTGACATTGTAGAATTAATGTTTTCCTCTCAGTGACTTCTGGCTCATATTTGCTAATTTACCAATCAAGTGATGTCTTCCTATTGCCACCCCTGCAAAATTCATTCTGAGATCTCAAGCTAGATTCCTTCTGGCTTGCATATCCACAGCAAAAGCTTCTCCATTAAGAACTAAGCCATCAACTTCACTGATACCTGAGCCCAAACAGAATGTAGCTCACTCTGTGTACATGAGAGTAAAAAGTAGCAAAATTAGAGGAAATCTGCAGAAGGGGTGTGCAAAATGGGCTGTATGCAATTTGGATTTGGATTTGGCCTGAATCGGGGAACAGTGATCAGAATCAATGAGTCGAATCTCTGCCCCCCGATTCAGGCTGAATCCGAATTGAATATTAATTTGTTTATTTGGATCACTGTCCTGATTCAATTCGGCCAGATCCAAATCTGAAGATTCAATGCTGGTTTGGTGCATCAGTGGTTTGGCCATAGACACAGGTTTAAATGTTTTTTCTACATACCTCGAGGTATCAGGAGTGGCTCATGAATGCTGCGCTGGTGGGGCAGAGGAGTGCCCCACAAGAGCGCAGTTGGGGGGGCCCTGTGTGCTTGGTGGCAGATCCAGAAGTTAACTGGAAATATTTCTGGTTCAGTTTTGGGTCTGCCACCAAGCGTGGGGGACTCCCCTGTACCCCCCTGGCTTGGCAATCAGCTGCAGGGGAACCCTGGGTGCCCCCCCAGGCCCAGGAGGCACTGTCACAGGGCACTAGGATGTCCTGCTCCTTTTAAGGGCTGGAACTGTTAGGAAGAGAGCCCTAGCAGTCAGTTGGGAGTTGGTTGGTGGTTTGGGTGAGCCTATTTGAGGAAGGAGGAGGCCTCATTGGGGGCCCATGGCAGCGTGGGGATCCCAGTGCCAGAGAGGGCATGGTATTTGGGGTGCACAGACCCCGGTGCCAGAGAGGGCATGGCATTTCGGGTGCACAGACTCAGGCGCCAGTGCGGGCATGGCATTTTGGGGTGCACAGACCCAGGCGCCAGTGAGGTGCAGTGACAGGGCTGTGGAGAGCCCGGAGAGAGGACAAGGGGGTCAATTACAGCAAGGCCTAGACAGAGTTCTGATTTGATTTGAAGAGATTAAAGGGTCTCCTGATTAGATTCAGATTCGGAGATTTGGCCACCGAATCGGGTCAAGTCTCTGACAAATTGAATCGGCAACCAAAGCTTTGCACAGCCCTAATCTGCAGTAAGGAGAGACTATGCACATATAAGAAATTCATACTCAGTGAAGAGCTGTCATCTTTTCTTAGATGATCCCTGTCTGTAATATCAGTCATATAAGGTTTTTAATGATGTGGTTATACAGTATTTCTGTACTTAGAAGTATTTTCTGTGAATCTGAGTAAATAGTCTAATAAGAACACCACTCTGTGCAGTGAACTACCATTTTGTCAATTAGCATTTGATCCAGAGAAAACCTTAGGAGTGTTCATAAATTTAGCTATGCTAATTAAATGGGATTTCTTGTATGCAAAGAACTTTCCTGGATTGGGACCTTAGATATTACAATTTTCAGTGATTTTCATTATAGAAAAGCCTAAGACTGATGGATTTACCAGTAATATATTATATCAAGGCAACTATTTTTTTTAATCTAATTTTAATGTTGTTAGTTTGGTTTTTTTTACCATTGGCATTCTGCAGTGTAAATGGGAGGAAACAATCATTAACATGATCTAATTCAGGTTTGAAATTGAAAGTGAATTAGTTTACAATTCATTGTAATAATCTACCATAGTTTGCTTATGTAAAGGCTTTTTTATGAAGTTTAAAAAGTTTATTTGCCTGTAGGGTAGGCAGTGGAGTATGGAAAAGGTAATTATATGTTCAGTGCCATAATTAATTAGCTTCATACCTTCAAGGGCATAAAAATTTAGCTAGATACTTTGTTGTGTTATGCACACTAAATGGCATATTTTGAAAAAAAACCTTTTATTTTTCAAATGCAATGTTTGCTATAAAACAAATGAAAATAGCCAAAGTATATATACTTTTTTATTTTTAATGCTCTGTAATTAAATTGCTGTCTCATGAATCCAAAATGTGAGTAATTGCCTTGGTATTTTTTAATTTATCTGTACAGTTCAATTATATCTTATAATTATATCTAGGAGAATAAAGTAAAAATATTTTGAGAAGACTCACATATGTTCTTCAATGAGTTTTCTTTGGCAACATTAGCATCTATCATTGCGTGAACAAATTTTTCTCTCATGAATGCTCACAGGGAGTGAATTTTAAGACAAATGCATTCTAGCATCCACACTGGAAGTCTTATATTTTATGTGGGGCTGGCTGCTGTTTTGCAGTGGGGTGACAGTACTCTAAATATTGCTCATCAGAACCATGACACACTAGCAATGAAATAAGTCAGATAAAGATACAATGCACCTTTCACAGCTAAGACCATCTTTACTAATGCATTTATTTTTTTGTCAGTAGGTGGAGGGATGACTGAGAATTGTTGGGCACTAAATGCATTCATGTACTGCCATGCTCTTCTTTTCAGCTACCATTTCTGAAGAGCTTTCTAAGCATCTGTCTAGAAAGTTTTGGTTCATATTTTGAATCCCATTTATGTATCATTCCTTTGGGTTCTTTGCCAGTATCTCAGTTTTCCTTATCTGCTATTCAAAGATATATAAAATCCTTCAAGCGTAAAAATATTGCCTACCTTAGATGCAAGGTGTGTGTGTGTGTGTGTGTGATATATATATATATATATATATATATATATATATAATCTTCATTTTACATGCTCAAAATATGCAATCATCTGATTTTTATTTAATGTAAAGAGCGTAAGAATCACAGTATATTCCTGATAATCCATTACAATCTTACAGTCTATAACCTTGTAGCATCTAGAGCTGTCATTAACCCATATATATTATCTAAGAATTGGACAGACAGATTCCCCATATATTAATAAAGTGCTTTTAACTGAAATCTCTTGTGTAACATTTCAGAATTTCAAAAGGGAAGAACAGAACTTTGTGGTACAGAATGAAATCAACAATATGTCTTTTCTTATTACTGACACCAAATCTAAGATGTCCAAGGTATGCTAGAATGCGGTGTTTATGTATTGCTGCCCCAATAACTTTATAAGGGTTCCATTTTATGATTCAGCTTTCTTAAGTCATAAAGGCAGGCCCAGTTTTTATAATCCCTTAAATTCGGTGTTGCTGGGAACTTTCCAGGTCCTGCCATTTAAGATGTCCCCAGTAATATACATGTCATATTTTGCTGCTCTCATGGCTTAGCTGGAGTGGTTGGAAGAATCAAGGCTATTTAAAAGCTCTTCGTGTGTTCTGTCACATGCTGTACATTGAACGGTAGTTGACTTAGACCAATTAGCTGATATTACACTTGATTCGGAATATTTTTGCAGTCCAAACTGTGGACATCCACAGAGTTTTGGTAGAGAAATGAGGTAGGATTGTGGGTCCCTGATATATTATGTGTCTACTGCAGTGAGCAAAGTTAAAACATATTCTTTAACCGTTTGCTGATATAAAAATATATTCTCCCATTTCTAGTGTTGTTTCCCATATGTATAGGAATAGCTGTAGTTATGAATATACAGACACAAGAATGGTCATGAAAACTGGGCACAATCTTGGTAAGGGTAGAGGGAAGGAATTTAGAAAAGTGGCATAAAACTGCCTCACCTCCACCATCTTGAGTCTGTGCCTAGCAGAGCTCAAAAAGGCTCCATAGACATAGCCCAAAGGAAGTAAATCTATGCCATTCAAGATGTAAGTTAATCACTAGCTGGTGGGGGGTCAGGAAGAACACTACATCAGTACAGCAGGTAGGGCTTTTACAGGGCTCAGTCCACAGTTGTGGAATGAAACCCTGTAGGAAGTAAGAATTACCTCAGACATTACAAGTTTCTACTCCAGGTGCATTTCTATGACTACTTCAACTACAAACGTGCATACCACAGATGATGTTACATACATAAAACCCATCTTTACCAGAATGGCTCTCATGATTTTATTGGTGAGCAAAAATGAAATGGCACAAATGAAGCAGGCATGAGAAATGATTAATGCATTGACATTATGTGGTGGTGAGGGCACCATATTATGTCAGTTCATGGTGGTGAGATGTTAGATGGTGACCCGAAAAAAAAACAAAGTTTCACCTTTTCCTTTCCTCCCAAAGAATTGCATCTCTGGAAGTCTGGCATTTTTCTCAGTGGCCCATTGTAGAGTCTTCAGGGGAACAGACTACCAAACTAGATGGACCATTAATCTAATCCATTGGTACAAGGCCTCTTCCCCTTGTTTGTATGCCTCTTGATGACCTCCTTCAGGTTCTGTCCCACTTCACCGAATATAAAATTCAGTTATCTACTCTTTTCTAGCCTGTTATCCAGTCCTGGTAAGGCTTCTCTGCTCACCCCCAGGGTGCCCAATTGGGTGTGCTGCTATCTAGGAAACTAGAATGTGTGGCTTTCTACCTAAGAGGTAGGTAGAACCCACAATACATTGGTGACAGGGAGGTGAAGGGCAGGGCTCAAGACGGGCCAAGCTGTGTAGTGCGACAGGAGCCAGAGGCAGGAAGGAGTTGCAAAAGTGAGGAGAAAAGATAAATTACTTCAGTGACCCTTCCCAGGTTATTCACTGCAGGAGATGGCAGAGGCTGTAGGAGGCTGAACCAGGAGTGCAACCAGATTGGCATGAAGCTGGGCATGGGCAGATCCAAAGGGGTTGATTGCCTCAGGTCGGGTGCTACAAGTGGCTGAAGTGGATCCTTCCCTGTTTGTTCCTGTATGTTGAGGCAGTGGTGGCCAGCTCCTAGTACTCAGGAGGGGGCAGTTACATTCTTGTGCAGTGCTGTGGAGGAGGATCTGCAGGTTATGGTGGCGAAGAGGGGTGGGGGAAATAAGTAGAAGGAACTTCCTGAACTTTGAGGGGCCAGATGGGGGCCACAGGCACCATGGGGCTTTTGCAGGGAGGAGAGCCTGTGGGGTGAGGATGGGCTGTGGGTCATCATGTGGGTGGGGGTAAGGGGCAGATTGGGTCTGGGGCTGAGTGAGCTGGTTGGGCCTGCTGAGCAAAATGGGGTTTGAGGGGGGTTGTGAGCAAAAGGGATTGTAGATGGCGAGGTCTCAGAGGGGTTTGAGGGGATGGTGAGGCTAGGGGTTTATAGGGACAGGTCTGTGCAGGATGCAATGCTTTCATGGGGCATTGAGGTGGCAGGATAGGTCTCAGTAGACTGTGAGGGGGATGGTGGGGTCTGATGAAGCTTGGGGCATGATGGGGTGGGGCTAACCAATGGGGAGGATGTGTAATATAACAGGGGACAGAATCCCCCCAGGGGGCATTTGAGGGGGCAGGAGCAATGCACAAAGGGCAGTGAGGGGCACTTTGGGGCCATGGTGGAGTGTTTTGAGGGACCCACATCTTGGGGTGCAGGTCTGTCTGTGGCCAGGCTGGGGGTTAACAGCTATACTCCCCTGGCACCAAGTGGCTGCCCTACTGTGGAGGTGGCAGTGAGGACCCCCCCAGTCATGTTTGTTTTTGCTAGGATCATAAACAGAATAATATAGTCCTAGGCCCCTAGCATATTAGTGAAGTTTCTAGTTTCTTTGTAGTAGAAAAATATGCACTGTATTATGTGATGATGGACCATACCATCTGCACCCTCTTTTTCAAAATCCTAGATCCAGCCATACATTAAGCCAAACAGAAAACATAAATTATAATAGCGAAGTTGCTGAAGTTAAACAAGTTTACTCAGAAATTTTGGGCCAAAATCTGTTCTCAGTTGCATCTATGCCACCACACTGGCTATACTGGAGCCACAGTTGTTTAAAGTATGAAAAGGTTTTCTTGGGAACAACATATTTATGATGCTATAGGAGCATCAGTGTGTGTTAATATGCCAGTATGATCTCTGACCAAATGGAATGGGAAGCCATGGTTTTCATCTTTAATGTTAACTTTGATTCAGTCAACATCTTAATTTGGGCAAAACAGCATGTTCTAGTCTAAGTATCCTTGCTAGCCAGTTAAATAAATTTGACTTAAAAGAACCCCAAAATCTGCTAGTTAACATGGAATTTAACTAATCAAGTTGCATTTTCACATAATAAAAAACTTATGCAAACAAAAAAACCCAAAGGCTTATTTTTCCATGATACTCTTGATGTGGATTAATTTTTAACAGGTGAAGGCTATTGAATTCTTTCCTTTAAATTGTGTATGTCCAACCTCACAATGCACATAATTCTTTGAAATGCCAGACATCTATACTTTCTGGCTTCTATATGTCCTTGTTTTTCTCTACATTGCAAAATCTCATTAAACAAAAGCCATCACCATTCCACTTATTGATTTATTATTATTATTAAAATTCTACTCACCATTTATATAACACTAACACACTCGAAGTGTGAAATTAATGTTACCTAATTAATTTCTAAAGCTTCCTATAGTGAGGAAACTGAAAAGACCAAATTCTGATCCTCTTTATGTGTTTCCAAGAACCTGCCTGTTTTTTTTTTTTCACTGATGCTGCCTTTCAAACCGGAACTTAGTGCTGTTCTAAACCATGGTGATTTAATCACAAAATGAATTTTTTGTGTACATCATAGAAGCATCATAGAGTGGATGAATGTAGAGTTCAGGGTCAACAGGCAAAAGAGTTATAGGAACAAATGACAATAATATGAAAAACAAAAAAAAAGAAGACAGAGGGGGCATCAGTGGTAGACCACTGAAGCATTACCTTAACCTCACATTTAATGCAGGATAGGGCCATACAGGGGTTGGAACTCAGAAATGTCATGTTTCTGGGAACGGGAAAGAGGTAGGAGGACAACTGGAATTCTTGAAGAACAGGGAAAG